ATATATATATGTATATATGCATGAAAAATACACGTACCACACTAAAGCCTTTATTCTTTGTATTAGCACGTTTGCTAGCCTCATTTAAAGTCGATGCGCAGGGTGACGAAATGATAGAAATCATTTTCGAAGTATTATTATTATTAATCTAACCAGACAAATCAGACAACAGGATCGAATGATTTTGGGGTAAAAGGCTAAGTTGCATGGTCAAATAAAAAAGGCACAGATTGTAGCTCTCAACGTCCATCCTCAATTAGATATACAAAAGACTATCACGATGCTTAAGTAACTTGCGTGTGATCAGAAGAAACTGGATTACAAGCGGACCATTATTAAAGAATGAAAATGTCGTGATAAAATTCTTGTTTGAAATGAAATTAACAGATAAATTCAAGGATCGATGAAAGACTAGCGAAGTAAGCTGAGTGGGTTGGACAACTTGTGAACAAATAGAGGAAATTTAGAAATAGCTTTTTCCAGTCAGGTAGCCCTAAACGGCCTACTTGAGCAGGCTGCGCACCTCCTTATGAATGTGGCATAGGTACTCCAGATAGGAGATGGATCTTTGGTCAATACGGTCTTCATACATGAAGCGCTTGAACCATATCTCTGATTTGTCCGACTGTCGAATAACCATGAGCTAAATCAGGAAAAAAAGTAAGTATTATAATATAGGCGAGCGTATACGCTGCTCGTGATAAGACATCTTACTCGACAATATCTGCGATGATTGGCTCGGATAAGTCTGATCAGATGATGAAGACCTTGAGAAACCGGCGTGGGCATTTCAGGTAGACAATTCTAATTTCGAAAAGAAAGGTTATCTTTGGGTAAATGCATGTTTGTTTTAAGGAGTTAGCTTCTGACCTTGTTTTCCTCTATCTGATCGAGACGAGCAACTCCGAAAGCGGCCAATAACCAATCGCTAGGAAGTTGGTTTCCTAGCCACAAAATCAGACCGGAGATGCCATTGTCAACAATATAGGCACTATCTGCAGATACGCGCTCGAAGGAGCATCGCAGGGGCGTCGGGAGAGTTTCAAATCCATCAGGTAGGTTGTGCTTAAAATAGAAATAAAAATAAATGTTGACAAGTCCAAGGATATTAATCGAAGACATGAGCCTTACAATAGAATAGAGTCGGGGATAGAGCAGAATGTTGGTCTCAAATGAATCCATTCCGAGAATAAGGAAGATGGCCAATGACTTGTCGTCAAGGGTGATATCGAGAGCTATATAACGAAAGAATAATTATGGATTAATTTAAGACTGACCCACCATGATGCACATGATTAAGCACACCTAGATAATGTAGAAGTTAAATTTTTGCAATTATATTGTGGGATTTTAACTAATTTGGAAAAACTGCATCTCAAATTATAGGATGCAATAAATTGTTCGAGGATTTTCATTAGCCGGCATCGCACTCAGCATTATCAGTAGGACGACGCCATTAGCAGAGTTAGACCAATTTTCTGTTTAATCATTATCCTATCTTATAGTTCTGCATCTCCCCTCAGACCATTTTGTGTTCTTGTTTCTTCCAATGCCGCCTAAAAATGTGTTGTTTTAAGATGTAGATGCCGTTCGAAAGGCTTCTGGGTCATGGCCTCCTACCTTCATTTAACCACTCTTCCCTCAGGTTCGCCAGTATTCCCTGTTCTAAATGAGAATTAATGCCTTTGATTCGAGTATTTAAAACCGGTGATTCTTATCTCTCTACGTTTCATACTTTTGACATATTATTTTAACATATCAAGCACATTGTCTTAGTCCGGGTGCCTGGGTGTCAAAATCCAGTGCTTCTCAATCCTTTTGTCATTCACACTTAATCTTTTCGTTCTTGTCAGTTCTGCGTGTGTACGCTGTTTAATAACCTACCTAGTCAAACATGTCACCAATCACCTCTCATTGCAGGCAGACGCACACAGGATGCCAACTGATATGCTCACGAACTAGGTTTCCACACCATAATAAATTTGTATTAGACCTAGCATCAATAATAGTTTATAATTTGTATTGTTTGGCCTTTAATCTATTATCACTCACTACAAATGCCTTTTCTTGACTTACTTTTGTGCCTATAATCATATTGGTCATGCCTCTTCCTATTGTTTAATAGATGTTTTTGGTCCAACTGTCTTTTTTTTGCTGTCCGCTGAATCTTTATGTCTTCCCAGGCAGTGCTGATTCTTCTCTTTCACACTCTCATCTTCATTAGGCTTCTTTAAAAGAGCATATCCAAGGCCCCCTTGATTTTTCGTTTTCTGAAGCAACTCCTGATCACCCCTTTTGTTTCAGGTAAGGCTAATTAACGAATCCATTGCACTTGCAATAGATCGTGTGTTTATGTCTACTAAATCAGAAATGTGCAAGTTTTCTACATAGACAATGATAGAACTGAGCTTAGGGTTTTCTTTTTTGAGTAAAATATTCTTTTCTCAGCCAATTAGTTACGCTTGATGAATTAACAGTTCTCGGAAAATCATGGCATCGAGATTTGGCTGGTAGAATCATGACTCTTCGTAGGCGGGTGTAAAATGCTAGAGGCGAATTGTAAGGCCCAGAGCATAGCACAAAACAACGATGAGCTTCATACATGCTTGTATGGATTGCACTCCATTCTAATTTCAAATGTTGATAATACTTGCTGGTATGATGGATTTAGGCCACGCACAAAGTCTAGGTGTTTCTCCTTAGAAAGCATGATGGAACAAGGCAGAATTTTTTAGCGGCTTTCATGAGAACTCTCCGCACTCCACACTGGCCTTGTGCTGCGAATGTTGATAAGTCTGCCATATTTTTGCGCGATCCTCCTTCCATTGGTTTAACAGTCTCTCTTGCCCCGTAAGATCCGTCTGCCCTCTCCCTGGTTCACATATTTCACTCGAATCCTGCCACCCCATCTTTGCCACTCGATGCGTTATTGGCCCTACCCTGTATCTGGGTGACTAATTCGAGGCTTAAGCCCTTGAGTAAGTGTCATGATCACGCCTTTGCCACATGGACCACGTCACTTATAAAAACTACTGTCAGCCCATTAGCTCCCATCGCCGCCGCGTCTATCCTCTTTCTATCTCTACTACCAAGTCTATGACTTCCCATGCCCTAGTCTCCTAGTGGAAGGAAAATTGCAGACTGATCAACATTCCCAGCACACCGTACCACATTTAATTAGGCAAGTAAAAAATAGTGTCGGTGAAGGCGTGATATGAAGATATAGGAAATGTGAATAGGCCAGGGCGGAAAGGGAGATACCATAACTGTTAAGCACACGTTTGGTCAAAGGACCAGCTTCACTTGTCTCTGAAGAATTGTATTATGGTGCTACGAATGGTAAAACTCACTGACGATGCCGGCTAAACGTCTGGGAATGTACCACGTTCACGGTCTGATTTTGGAAATGATTATGCACACCATGGACTCAGGACAAAGTAGAAGGTGAGATACCACAACTGTTTAGCACACGTTTAGTCAAAGGATCGGCTTAACTTGTCTCTTTGACGAGTTGTTGATTGGCGCTAACAATGGTGAGACTCACTGATGATGCCGACTACGATGCCGGCGAAACGTCTGGGAATGTACCACGTCAACGGTCCTACTTTGGAAATGATGATGCATACAATGTACTTCAGACAAGTTGCGTTCCTCTAAATCTTCCTACCAATCAGACCAAGTTGCGAAAACAAGGTCAAACAAATTGTATACACCAAAATGAGACTGCGACCACACAAAAAACCATACCATACACATCATACCTTGGATTACAGTGGTATTCTCTAGATGCTTGCTCTTGATTTGATTTACTTGTAGCTTAGCGATTCCGCCGCCTAAATCTGTATGGATAAAAGTGAGGGCACTTATCTTGGCGTGTCTATTAAAAGGGGTCATTCAAATATAGCAGTTAGCAGCTTATGTTGACAATGTGTTAAGATCAAACAACTAATTCTGACATTTTACTTAAATCCATTATGTGAAATGATTATCACATTATTATTATTGTACAAAGGCCTAATCAAGCGAAAGTGGTTCAATATAGACAGCATGTTTATAGAATGATTACATTCGTTCTTGTTTTTGTGATAAAATATGGTTAGGAACCGTTAAATCATTGATTACCTGGTTTTATTGCGTCACACTTTATAAGCGACTGAACAAATAATGGCAAGAGCTTCAGGGTTTCAGGAAGCACGAGCTCAGCAGGACTGGCGAAATTTCCTGCCCCACCAGAGCCTGCACCGATTCCAGGACCTGTGCAGTAGCGTCTGTATGCGAAAAGAGACTGGGCAAGCCGAGTTGTCAATTCTTCCGAGATAGCGGAGTGAGGCTTGGAGAGAGCAGCTCGACAAGTAAATTTGGCCAGCCAGTTGACGTGGGAGTCTAGATCACAAAGGCGGTAGATGTCGACGTGTTGGGATGAGGTATTGAGCGATAGATTGTGGATACGGAGACGTCGTTTACCTTCGACGGAGGTATATAAACAGGCGACCTGGAGAGGACAAAGAATAATAACAAATAGTCATATAAATAAAACTAGATGGAGCAAATATGATAAATTAAAAGAAATCTGGTCTTACTACACGGAAATACACCTGCTATTTTATACGAAGAAAAGTTTCTTTGGGTTTCTGTGAATCTCTTGTCTCATAATTGTTAAGTTTACTCCCATTTCGAGTGAAAGTGTGTGGTGAACAGATTCAAGGCCGATTCCACCACAAGACAACAGCAGATTCCTCTTGACCACCTGTCAGTTGGCTTTACGGGAACAATTATGTTGATGCTATTTCCGAGCTAATCTCCTTCGATTAAGGTAAAAACGTGCTAAACTTTCGTCCATCATATGACGAACATGCTCAGAGCAAGGTATCACAACCAAATTCAAGCTAACGAATCAAGAAAACTCACCGACACATCGGTAAAAGGCTGTATACATATTTTATATATGATTGGAAACAAGAGATTAAGAGTAGACTAATTGAGTCGCCTCCTTATTGCAGGCTCGTCAACACTATATCCTTGAGTCTATTAATTAAGCACAAGTAATTTTTACTCATCTTGCCGGTATAACTTACATTCACTGTATTCCCTCTTCGGTTTATTTCTATGGATAGCCGCAGGCATGTCATAAGCAGCGAAAAAAGAAGTTTGAGACTATTCAATCTCGTATCCAGCTATTGTCTTGTCTGTGCCCAGCTAACTCCGATTTTTTAAACTCAGCACTCTGTAGGCTCTTTTGTGATCAGCCACTCTTCGTCGTATGGAACGACAAGTCTCTCCAACATAAGTGACCACATGTTGTTTCTTTATCGCTTAGACTTTCATTTCGTATGAAAATGTGTGAAGAAGATTCGAAGGTCGATCTCACCAGAAAAAGACGGTTAAATCCTGTTGCACTGCAGCCGTTTTGGCTTTCATACGACGTTGAGATTGACGCAGTCAATGAGACCTCGTCTTCATACACTTTCATGTGAAATTCAAGTTCAAGCAATAATGCTATCCCAGGAGATTAATCGAAATTCAATTACTCTTCATATATACATTATTTTGTAGCAACCCGATCTGGAAAATGGGGAATAAAAACGGTCTTCAGGGAAACTACGACACTTTCTTCAGTTATGCCCACTTTTAGAAAGTCGACCCGTTATCCAGTTCGGGTTGCTTCAACATAATCTGTTCACGTGGTCGTTTTTATGTTGGAGAGACTGTCATCCCATTCGACAAAGGATGGCTGAGCAAAAAAGCGCCCGCAAAGGCTGTTGGGTTCAAAAATCAGAGCTTGCTAAGCACGGGGCAGAAACA